TCCGCGCAACCCATGTGAGGCTCTTTGCCAGAGACTAAAATTAAACGTAGATGATACAGAGCCTACAAAGTATTTCATGTGTAGCAGCAAATGTAACAAGGACAGTCGTTTGCTAAGTGCTTTTTCTGGGTTAAGTTGCTCTTGTGGGAAATTAATGAGCGAAGAATTGGAGCTGATAGAATCCAAGAAAGAGGCTCCCCAGAATGGTGTTTTTGTTAAAGAATCCATGTACTTGATCTTTGATGATTTGAGGGTGCGCCCAAGCTCTCCAGGAAACTATGTACAACAACTCCTCCAATATGGCTACAAAGACTTTCAAAAAGATGACAGAATTGACTATAAACGTTGGCATGGAGGAGGTAATACTGCTTTTTTATTCATTGAACGTGGTACTTGTTGACTTGCACTTAAAAAAGCTCCTTTATTATTGATTTCAATTGGAGCAATGTATAGTAGTTGTGAGCTTTTCCTAATAAACATACTTAAATTACGTGGAAAATTATATGATTATTTTGCGATGGAAAGTTCAGATTAATTAAACTAAAACCATTTTTTTAACTCTCCCTTGATTGATTAATTTACCCTTATTTTAAAATTTATATATAAATTTACTATACTTTAAATACTATGTATCGATCTATCTTACTTTAACTAAAATTGATCACTTTTTACCCAAAAAAAAAAAAAATTGATCACTTTTAAACAGTTCTAATCATGTGGGTTCACAAGAGGTCATATTTTTGGGAATCTTGTGGTAAAAAGTAATAACTTTTATTAACATAGAGTATATTGGTAATAAATTTAAATATAGAATAGATAGATCATCCTCCCTTTCTAATTATCCTCGATCCACAGAATCATATTCTTAGGTAGATTATTATTAAATTTTGCTATAAGATATTTCAAAAATTTATTTTGATTAGTATTTTAAATTCTTGGAAATCTTTTATGAATGTGACATCATCAGAGAACATCCTAAAAATGCAATCTAATTAAACAAAACATGAATTCAAAATTAGCCTACTAGAAGAATAAACCTGACGGAAAGTATGTAATAATTCTCATTTTTATCGATAGTTCAAACGTTAGAACGCGGATAGTGGAGTGGAACATTGGACTTAAGTGATGTAGGTGGTTATGTACTTTGACACAGTGGGATTGATGCTTATATTGGGGAAATAGAAATACCCAACCTCGCTCTTGGAAATAAAATTCGACTAATACTTGGATATATAACAAAATTTGAAACTAATACTTCCTTCTATATGCTGGTATATGAAAATTTCCTTATTTAATGATAGCTTTGTTTTTTTCTTTTTTAGGTTTTTAGCATACTAAAGCAAGCGTTAATCTCCAAATCTCCTTTAAGTGATGTATTCTTGGCATATCGAGGATGTAAACCGACATACTTCTTCTCACCCGGTTGCCCAAATTACAAAACAGATTCTGTGAAGCTCAAGATAACAGTGAGCAAATCAGAGAACCGGGTTCTGTTTGCTGAATCTGAGGGAGATTTTGTTGATTTTCTATTTAGTTTTCTAACAACACCTCTTGGATGTATTTTGAATCTTATGGAAGGCTAATTGTCTTTGGGTTGTATAAGTAACTTGTACACTAGTGTGAAAGATCTTAATTCATCATGGTTACCAAATAATTCCTTACTCAAATTACAGGTTGCTCATCAGTTTGGTTGTGAGGGAAATCCTCTACTTAAGCTTGACATTTAGACAATTTAATTCTTATGAATGGTTATACTTAATGTTATTTTTTTGTTTATTTGATTTGACTATGATGAATTTTGGACTATATATACTTTTTCCATTGACTATGATGATCTACATGGTCAGGCACTAAACCTGTTGGTGGCTTCCTTGACGTCCAAAGCTGCTTTGACGAATAGCCTATTCAACCTCCTGAAGAATCCCAAAGGAGGAAATTGACTAATATTCTCTATGGGTGGGGTGTAGAGGAAACCAGCTAGATATTGGTGTTTTAAATGTGTGTTTAAAATTCTCTTACTCTAAGCTGAAAGTGCTTTTAGGAGATCGATTATTGCTCATAATACTAATGAAGCTCTTCTCTAATTTTCTGTACTCAAAAGTGGTTAGATTGTTGGTTGTTTCCGCCAGGAGAGCAAATAATTCTTGCTCATTAAGAAAAAGAAATCATATTTGTTTAATTAATACAGTTCAATCATAAAAATTTGTTTATGATCTATTGTAATTGAAACGAGATGAGGAAAGAGTTTAGACATTAGTTGACTAAAGCCAAAAATAGATTCAATGTCCTAACGCATACTATCTCCAGGATTATTTATATCATACAAGAAAACCTAATCCTAGCCTTTTTGGTAACTAAAGTCTTAATTGCTGAGTGGTAAAACTGTTTCTTCATGACTGAAAGGTCGGGTTCGAATCCAGGAAACAACTTCTTTGTAGTTATGCAAGGATAAGGCTGCATATAAGAATTTCTTTCACCCCACACTCGTTAGTCGGGTTTAACGGTAACAACCATTTATTAGTTTATCTAAGTATTTGATGGTAAGCCAAATGAGCTTTTGATTAAAGAGCATACTGGGCAAGGGGCTTACTAGGCATTGACGATGTCTTTGCGGATTGCTACTGAGTGAGAGGCTAACCATGAGTAACCCAAAACATTCGTCTTGAATCTGTTATTAAGCATTGAGCGTCGATCCCTAAATATATAATCCTTTTGGCATGTACTACAGTCTACAGCGTACAATTAAGAGAACAATGTATTGTGAGTTGATGAAGATGAAGATTTTTGTCGAATTTCAATTTAGTTGTCTCACCCTATCCTTTGATCTATTTTGAACCTTCTGGATGGCAATGTATATGTGGGGATGTATACAAAAAAGTGTGAAGGTTATTGAAGTTTCTCACAATATCATTAGCCATTTGCTCCTTAAAAGAGTTATAAAAAGAGTAACTCTTTGTCAAGTGTTTTAAAATTCGACCTGATCTGACCGATTCAAACGGTTGACACGTAAATCGGATCTTCAATCGATCCGGTTTAGATATTAAATAGGTTATTCATTTGATTCGGTATGAAACTGGCTCTTGAACAGGGTTTAAACGGTATTAAACCGGCAGTTTTTTTAAAAAAAAAACCTCGTTTTGTGAAATTTTTGACAAAATGCTTGAAAAATGCCACTAATGAGATTCAAACCTAAGTTATGTGGATTATAACTTATAGCACATACCACTAAACCAACTCTAATTATTAATTAAAATACTTCTAATTTTAAATTTTAATTTTATTATATATATTTAATTTATGTTATTGAACTAATAACTCAATGGTTGAATCGGTGACCCAACCCAATACTATGACAAAATCAATAATTAATTCGAGTTTGATAACACTGCTCTTTGTTATTGGTACGGGATAGGAGTATATGAAATTAATATAATTCACTAATGAATGAGCCAAGAAACTTTTTGAACCGAGATCTTCTGATGGCACAAGAGAACCAGTGTTGGCTTTGTGAGGAGACCATAACTATTTTTTGTTTGGGATGATATTCAAGTGACACCATTGACGATTGCTTCTAGCATTTAGGGCCTGTTTGGTGTGATGTATAGGATAAGACCTGATAGTATAAGCCCTGATAGTATAAGATCTGAAAGTATAAGACCTGATTAAATTTTAATACTATACAGTGTTTGGCTTGATATTATATAAGATAATGTATTGTGTAAGATACTACTATCCAGTGTTTGGTAATGCACTGTATAATACTAGATTGGATAAAAATAAATAATTTTGACAAAAATACCCTTTAATAAAGAATTTATATAATTTCTCCAAATATTAATTTTTATAAAACTCTATCAATCAGTGTCCAAAAAATTTATTAATTCATGATTACATTTGGTATTTCTTTATCTTTTGAGCACCAAACGAGTCACCTAAACTGACAAGAATGAAGATTTAACTATCAGACCTCTTGCTATAGCTGTCAACGAAGCATGGCATCATGTGGTAATGCTACCATTTGCTGAACAAACATAACAATAGTCTTAATTTTAACAAGCCATTAGTTCCAAACAGCTTAATAATATTATACTAGACAAAGATATGGTACCAAGATCCTCCAAAGTTGAGGGTTCTTTTCCTTCTTACCAACCTTAGCTGGTATGCAGATTTAGCCACTCTTGATCATTCATAACAAGACCAAACTCCCAGGAAATCTGAAAGAAATATGCAAATTTCTAAAAAGCATTTTAATCAAATTAATTGTCCTTGAATATCTTGCAACCCACATGACTATACTGTTATACATGATCAAATACATATTTATCATTTTAGCTTTGTTCAAGAACCATTGCATAACAATGATCATTCATTAATTACTTAGTCATCATCCCAAAGTTGGTGCCACCAAATAACATAAATATGTGAAAAAACCAAGTGACTCTCTAAAACCAAACAGCATTCTGAATGACAGAAGCTTACTAAGTTATTTACTATTGACATTTTACATTGAAAGTTCCACCAATGTCACCAATTGAATCAGACAATTCATCCCTAAATGATAATAATAACAGGCAAAGGAACACTTTAGGATGCAAATGTTTTGAACTGGCAACATACAAGAAAATAAAAAATGCGTGCACAAACAAGTAACATCAACTCGAACTCTCAAAGTCACAATTGAAGAATGTACAATGAATAACCTAAAAGGCATACAATTGATTATGAAAATGAAGCAAAATTACAAAGAAGAAAAAAAGAGGGACAGTGATGCCTATTGCCTAGTTATTCCCTAATACCTAATACAACTGTACACCTGCAATTGTAACAAACTTCAAACATATACTCATATTAGACCCACAATAAAATTCAAGGTACAACTTTACAAATTTCTTGAGCCCTATCTCCAAATTAGTGGTAGATCTGTACCTAAGGTCCTTGTGAACCAAACTAATATTGGCATGGGTGAACTTAACATCTCCATTTCTCGGCATAGGAAGCACCTATTCTTTGCCTTGGTTTTCAGAAGCTTCTCCATTATGTTGACAAGCCTTCAAATTGAGACTGTAAACGGAGATCGTGGAAGCCCAAACAATGGCGAGATGAGGGTTCGCCGAATTGCACGCTTCTAGAAGGCTCACGAACCCTAAGATGTTGCTGTGCAGATAGGATCCAGGATAGGATCCAGGATTCTGCATAGTGTAGCGGACCCCAACTTGCGTCGTGAGGTGCATCACGTGGGTGAACAGCACCACGTCGAAGAGCTTTCGGAGGAGTGCGGCGTCGTTGATGTCGCCGTCGAGGAAGAATATGCCGGTGCATTCGAGGAGCTTCTGGCGAGCTCGTTTGAGGTTAGGGTAGTAGCAGCTATGGGGAAGAAAGGAGAAGAAGGGTTGTAATGGGTAAAAAAAATATGGTATGTGATTAGCCTTATACATTAATTCTTTATCAGGTCTAATCCCACCCTTGTAGACCTGATTAAGTTATACATCATTTTGATGTATTAAGGGGGTATGATGTATAAGCTTATACAATACGATGGTCACTCCAAACAACTAAGATTATCATAATGTATAGTATAAGCTTATACTATCAGGTTTTATACGTCGCACCAAACATGCCCTTAGTTTTTCAAGATTTGAAGCGCCAGTTAGATGACTTTGAGGAAGCATGTGATGTGCATTAAGGAGACAGATGTAACAAATTTACAATCAACTCTTTGACTGATTTTCTTCTATAAGCTGTAAATATCGACATAACAAAATTTAATCTTTTATCAATGGATATAATTAGAATTAGTTTCGGTCTAGTGATTGATAGTGAATATATATTTCTTTATTTTTCTTCCACTTCAGCCTTTACAGTCCTAGAGGTGATATTTACGACTACATGGTGGGCCACTAAAGAGTCCTAACCTACGACAGGGATTGCTATTCTCACTTGGAACAAAATTTTGGTAATACAAGGTACTCAAGTGGGTACTTTATCTTTTTACATTTGAAAAAAAATTTCACCACTTTAAAAAAATAAAAAATTCCAACCACATTGAAAAATTTTCCAAATGTGAAAAAACGAAATACCCACTTGGGTACTCCCTAGTACCAAAGTTTAGTTCTCTCACTTGGCAGAAAATAACTGAGAAAGGAAAGGAAATCACTGCGCATTCAGAATATTTTACATGAAACACAATATTTGATGAAATAGTGTCCATCAACTAATCTCAAGCATCAAATTAAAACAGCAAGGGAAGTAGAAAAGTATTTTTTTTTTTTTAACACCGACGATTACTATAATATTAGCCAAGATGGAAATAATTGGTCAATTCTCCTCCTTGATGGTTTTTTTTTTTTTTTTTTTGGTACACATTGATGGTTTTCAAATATTGGCGGAGACCGTTTGTCAAAGCAGATGTTGAGGTCAATGAAGCTTTTAGTATGCTGAGACCCTGCAACATTGAATAAAAAAGTGTGATCTAATCTGATACAAATAACAAAATTCTATGAACAACCAAGCTTAAACAAGTCTCACACTGCCTTACCTCCTTCAGACCAACGCTGATGACCCTTTCCTCCAAGTCAGAGAGGGAGACTTTTGATCTATTTAGATATGAAACAGTAGAGATGGACGACATTGGAGTCACAACCAAGTCATCTGTCACCATGTACATTGATGGTCCTTTGGCAAATCCTCGAGGACTTGATAATTCTCCGGTAGAGGACTTGGGATCAACATATTTCAAGGGTGCATTCAGTTCAAAACGGTAAGTATTGCATGTATACGAACAAGACACAGGTAAGCATGCCTCCCCAATCGGTAATATCTGGTTGCTGAGCTTAAATTGCGGGGCACACTGAGGGTTAGCTAGTTTGTCTTTCAGTCCCTGTGAGCTTAAATATCTGTCTGAACTCAATTCAGTCATACTCTTAAATAATTTATCAACACAGCTCAAAGAAGAGAATTCTTCTAGCATGTGCAACACTCCTCCCAAGGGGAAGGTGAGAAAACTAAAAAGAAAGTCAGCAAAATCTTCCTCTGCTTCAGCAAACAGAATCTTGCTGTTAGATTTTCTTACCAGTAATTTCACAACCATTTGCCTACCCCCATCACATGCTACATTTCCAATCTCAAACTGAGATTGATTTCCTCGGTTAGAATCATTAAGGAATTGTTTCTTCTCTAAGATAAAGTAACTCAGAGGAGTCTTTGAGAGCAATGAAAACTTGAGCAGATCCACTACCTACACAAATCAAAGATGAACTAATCAATGAGAGAGTGAAAAAATTATCAACAGCAAATATGATAACAAGCTGAAAAAACATACCTCCTTCTTGCTGATAACTACAGTTTGTTCCTGAAGAGCATCCATGTCATCGATTCCAAGCTTCTTAAGCAGACCTATACTTGTTCCAACAACATTAGGCATCACATAGAGATCGTCACAAATGATAAAAGTAGCAGACTCATTAACAAAGCCATTTTCTAGAGTCAAATTCGCTGGGGATATTATTCTGTTCATTAGTTTTCCGCAATTGCATCTTTGATTCCTAAAAGTGCTTAAAAGGCTCCCACTTAACTTTCTACTACAATCCCAGTTCTCACAAATGAAGTACTTCGTGGGGTTCGTGTCATCAATGTTCAGTTTCAGCTGTTGACAATAAGGTTCCATTGATTTCCTTGGCTGTAGTAGCATTTCTTTGCAGGTCCGTGTCCATAGATGCTTTTCTTCAAGATCTGCCACACTTTGATACAATGAACTCAGGCTGCCAACTCTCACCGGTTGTATGTTTGACTCCTTACCCACGAGTCTAGCAACAGTTCCTAAAGGCAATGTTAAGAAGCTCAAGAGAGCATCGACAAAATCCTTCCCTGCCTCAGCAAACACAACTTTGTTTTTGCCTTTGTCCACCAAAACTTTCAGGAGAACTTTGTGAACTTGTTCATTTGATGGAGTAGCTGTTGTTGAGAATGGAACAGATTTATGACATTTGTTTCTACTTTTATGAATCCTGTTTCTAATATTATCTGGATTAGAGTAGCATCTCATCAAATGGCTTTTCATGCTCTGTGTTCCATGTTTGTACAAGACCAAGCAACTACAATAGTTGCATTTAGCTTTCTTTTCCGAGATAGACTCCTTAACAAAGTGCTTCCAAACCTCTGATCGAATTTTACACCCACCAAATTTAGATGGCAACATATTACCAGAGTAAAAACTAGATGCTCTGCAGTCACTCTATGCCCGGAAATTTATCTTGATCACCCATTGGTTTCAACATAACATTTCTGTTTTCCATTAAAAATTGACATAAGAATCAGGTTAATCCAATATGCAAAATGACAATATAAATATATGGAAGTGAAAAAAAAAAAAAAAAAGAGTAGAGATAAAGGTCAAAGAGAAAGACTACAATTTTATTCATTCTTTCCATCGTCAAATCAAAGTTTAAGAGAAAAAAATGCAAAAATTGTAAACAAGACCCCGATACTTCTAGTGAAGTTTAAAATCGTCTTCATTTACACAGGACATGAATTTTACAAACGATATTTTTGGTATTAAAGCATCAACATGAGCTCCAACAGGAAATGTACAATTCCTTATAAAGCAATTATACTACTAAGAAGAATAAATCTAATAGGTAGCTGCAAATAGCAGCAGCCATATAAATTTTAAATGCAAAAGTAAATAGTAAACTTGGTAAGTAATTCGCCTCTTGTTAATTGCTACGTCATAGTTAAGGTAAAAAGACAATGTTAGCATTAAACTAAGGGCAAAATGACTTGCACATTTGATTACAAGCTAGCAAACAAAATGATGAGAATATCTCCTAGAGACAAACATATAGAAAAGTGACAATTTCTTTCCTAATACAAAAGTAAATACTGAAATGCTTTTACATTAATATTTTACTTTCAGCTCACTAAGGATTAATCCCTTCTTTAATTTTTTTTCCTTAAGGTTTGTAGTAGCTTCTACCAATGCATAACAGAATTTTTGTCCATATACAAACACACTTAAGCAAGAGGGCAAGCCTGAGATCGGGGTTTAATGGGGATTGTTGAGATATATAAAAACCATTAATGTAGCCTCACCCAACAACTTAAGCTTTTGAGTTAAATTGGTTCTTTATATGGCATCAGAGCCTCGGTTGTACCGGGTTCGATCCTCACCGCTTCCCACTTTCTTTCTAGTGGAATTTCTTTCTTCGCACAGGTAGGTGGGTCTGTGCATTGTTCACCCTTCAAGCCCAGTGGACTCTCGTGTGAGGGGGCGTGTTGAGATATATAAAAACTATTAATATAGCCTCACCCAACAGCTTAAGCTTTTGGTTGAATTGGTTTTTTACATGGACTCTTCTATGCAAACACACTCAAGCAATAACACTAACAGAATTTAGCACAAAACCATAAAATCAAACAAGAATGAGAAAAAAGTGAAAGAAAGAGCAGAAATGAACAAGTACCGAGGAAGTAGAGAATGAATGCTGAATGAAGCCCCGTGACTAGAGCACAGCAGATAGATACCTGCACAATATAGGAAGCCAGAAATAACTACAGGTGATAACTGTTGGGCTTCCTCCTTCAATGCTAAGCCCAAGCCCATTTGAGGGGTTTCCTAAAAACCCTAACCCTAATTTCCACCTCCTCTATATATACTCATTAGTTGAGGGTGGAGGCTAGGTTAGATAAGAGAGGTCAGATTTGAGAGAACAAATTTGAGAGAATTATTTGATTGTTTGAGCAAGGCTTTATGCTTTGCATTTGAGAGATCTCTAGAGAGAGTTTGAGTGAAATATCTCTAGGGTAGTTTGATTATCACCATTGTTGGAGAGGTTGAGTTAACCACCACATTGGTGTATTTGATTCGTTGTAACCATTATTTTCATAGTGGATTTCTGATCTGGGCTAGGTCCCGTGGGTTTTTTACTTCTTCATTCAAGAAGGTTTTCCCACGTTAAATCTGGTTGTATTCTTCTTCTCTCTCTCTCCTGTGTTTTCGTTTTGATTTTTCCGCTGCGCTGCCTGACCTGGTGAAGTTCAGGCCGAGGTATTGCCGAGATCCGAGATCAGGATCTTGTTGATTGACTTCCGCACAAAGGCTGCTTAGCCGATCTCAGGGAACCGAGTTTTCCCAACAGTGGTATCAGAGCCCAAGTTCGACGGGTTCTGAGGGAGACGAGATGGAGACCAGTGGCATAACTCATGATGGAGATATGTTCAAGTTGACCGCAGACAACTTCACTTATTGGAGACCGATGATGGAGGATCATCTCTACTGCAAAGATTTACATGAGCTCATTATCCTTGATGAGAGACCGGCAGGCAAAACCGATAAGGAGTGGGAGATCCTGAGTCGGAAGACGGTAGCCACGATCAAGAAATATATTGATAAAAGTCTCTTTGAGCACGTGTCCGAATTCACGAACGCGTATGAGTTGTGGACGAAGCTGGAGTCCATGATTCAGAAGAAGACTCCCAGGAACAAAGCACACCTGGTTCGCCGACTTGTTAAGCTTGAATACAAGGACGGCATGAGCATGATTGAACACCTGAACACCTACAAAGGTATTGTGAATCAGCTGTCAAAGGCTGATATGAAAATTGATGAAGAATTGCAGGCATTGCTGCTGTTTAGCTCGCTGCCAGAAAGCTGGGATACTCTGGTGGTGACCCTGAATAACTCGACTCCAAATGAAAAATTGAAGATGGATGTCGTGACAGACAGCCTCCTGGGTGAAGAATCCAGGAGAAGAGAACGAGGTACTTCGAGTACGTCTAAGGCCAACGTTGCTGAGAACAAAGGGAAATCTGACTCCCGCGGTAGAAGCAAAAGCCGAGGTAGAGGTCGTGACAGACGAGACAAGTCCAGAGGTCGGTCAAAGTCGAAATATGAGTTGAAGTGCTTTTACTGTGGAAAGACAGGCCATAAGAAGTCAGACTGCTGGACCCTGCAGAATGATGAGAAGAACGACTCTGTGAAGCCGGATCAGATTATTCCCAAGAAGAGGGAAGACAAGAGCACCACTGCGGTGGCTGCAAATCCTGATGCTGAGATATTCCTCCTTGGTGAGGATAATTATTTGAATGTTGCATATGATGACTGCACCTGGATTGTTGACTCCAGTGCCTCTTTCCACGTTACTGCACACAAAGGTTTTCTCTCCTCTTACCGAGGTGGTGACTTTGGAGTCGTGAAGATGGGAAATCAAGTGACCAGCAAGATTGTTGGTGTCGGTGATGTAACTCTGACCACAAATGTCGGATGCCGACTTGTGTTGAAAGATGTAAGGCATGTTCCTGACATGCGTTTGAACCTAATCTCGGTAGGAAAACTTGATGATGCCGGGTTAGTGAACTACTTCGGTAGTGTGAGATGGAAGCTGGCCAAGGAAAACTTGGTCATGGCCCGAGGTAAGAAAGAAGGCTCCTTGTACGTGATGCAAGGAAAGATCAATGGCGGAGAAGCCAATTCTGTTCGAGATGAATCTAGCTTGGAGCTATGGCTCAAGCGCCTCGGCCACATGAGCGAGAAAGGGCTCCAGATCCTGAACAAGAAAAGATTACTGACCGGGTTGAAAGGCCAAGCGTTGGAGAGTTGCACGCATTGCCTAGCTGGAAAGCAGCACCAGGTTTCTTTTGTGAGACCGGATCAACCAAGACGACGCAGGTATATTCTTGACCTCGTCCATACTGATGTCTGCTCCATGTCGGAAAGATCCCTTGGAGGAACTCAGTACTTTGTTTCATTTATAGATGACCATTCCCGCAAAGTGTGAGTGTATTTGTTGAAGTCTAAAGACCAGGTACTCCATTCCTTTAAAGAATTCCATGCGATGGTTGAAAGGGAGACTGGCAAGAAATTGAAGGTGGTCTGATCTGACAATGGTGGTGAGTATTGCGGCCCGTTTGATGCATACTGCAGAGCGGCCGGGATTCGACTTGAGAAGACGCCCCCCAAGACACCTCAGCTGAATGGACTCGCTGAGAGGATGAACAAAACTATTGAAGAGAAGGTCTGAAGCATGTTATCCAATGCCGGATTGCCGAAATCATTCTGGGGAGAAGCCGTCAAAACTGCTGTTGATTTAATCAACCTTTCACCATCACGGCCACTTGAAGGAGAAATTCCAGAAGAAGTCTGGACAGGTCGGAAAGCGGCCTACAATCAATTGAAGGTGTTTGGATGCCGAGTTTCGTGCATATCCCTAAAGATGAAAGGGCCAAACTTGATGCAAAGACTAAAGAATGCATTTATCTTGGTTCGCCGAGATGTGAGTTCGGGTTCCGACTTTGGGATCCAATCAATAAGAAGATAGTGAGAAGCCGAGATGTGATCTTTCATGAGCATGAGAACATTCATGACATCTCGAAACCCAAAGTCCGAGTTACTGTCAGACATAAAGAACCCATCCCTCCTGTCCGAGCTGAAGCAGGGGGAGAAAATCGAGAAAATGATGATCAGCAACAAGCTGAAGATGACCAAGACACTGAGGTCCGAGTTGATGATGAGATCCGGGATGAAATTGATGAACCGGGTTCTCAAGCTGAAGAACAGCCGAGATATCCAACTCGAGAAAGAAGACCCTCTACGAGATACCCATCTGATGAATACACCGTTGTTGCTGAAGACGGTGAGCCTCAGAGTTATGATGAGGCTGTGATGAGCTCAGAGAAAGAAGAATGGAAAAAGGCAATGCAGGACGAGATGAAGTCTCTGCACGAGAATCAGACTTATGAGCTGACCGAGTTGCCTAAAGGTAGACGAGCTTTGAAAAACAAATGGGTCTACAAGATTAAGAATGAAGAGAACGGAAAAAAGCCGAGATATAAAGCTCGGATTGTAGTGAAAGGCTGCAATCAGAAGAAAGGAGTTGATTTTGAGGAGATTTTTTCTCTTGTGGTGAAAATGACCTCGGTCCGAACCGTGTTAGCCATGGCGGCTTCGATGGACCTCGAGGTAGAACAAATGGACGTGAAGACGACATTTCTTCACGGTGACTTAGAAGAAGAAATATATATGGAGCAACCTGAAGGATTCCAAGCTCCAGACCAAGAAGACTTGGTATGTCGGTTGAAGAAGAGCCTCTATGGCTTGAAGCAAGCACCTCGAAAGTGGTACAAGAAGTTTGAATCATTTATGACTGATCATAAGTTTGAGAAGACAGATGTCGACCACTGCGTATTTGTGAAGAGGTATGA